AACCTTTCGGGTTTCGGATGTGTAATATGGATATCCTACCCTGTGTTTTTTTATTTAGATATTTTCGGGTTTTATTGTATTTTGGGTAGGGCGGGTTCGGATCGGGTATCGGGTTTAATCGGTTTCAAATTGGAAAATATAAAATTACAATTGCAAAACATAATTTGATTCCCATACATAATGTGAATATTGCAAAGTAAAGAGTAGGGGGGATCAAAATTGTAACAAAGAGTTTTAGCAAAATACAGATTACTGAATTACACAATACATTAATCATTAACATCCAAAGTTCCAACTAGTCAAGTATGCAAAAATGCAAAAATGCTTGAAGACTTTGAAGTTCCACAACTATCTTCCACAGTTTGAAGTTTCCACCTGCATAAGAAAGTTAATGAACACATGGAAAGCAATAGACATGTAGTAGAGTAGTACAATATGTCAATAACAACTTAACAAGGATAAGTTAATGAAACAAATCAGAGAAATCACTGACTCAGAATGCTTGTTATCCTTCACAAGGAATATAGGGGCAACTACTTGTTATGAACTGAAAGAGCTATACCAACCTTAAACCATACATTCAATAATGTGTGCAAGCTTCATCATAGCCAGTGAAAATTAATAGAAATGATAGAGTAAAGGATTAATGAGATTATGAGATACTTACGCAAAACCTGCAAATAAGAGCAAGGTACAAGGGTCCAGGGACAGTTGGCACTTGGCAGCATGTGCATGCTTTCCAGAATGGCAGAATCATGCTCATTCAAATGTAACGAGCACATAATAGTATAATACATTATACTCATATTGGCAGCACGTCCAACACCAAATCATATAGCCATGTACTCATGTTCATACACATTTAAATGGAAAAACAAGCACATAATGGCACAAATCACACATTTCATAGAGTTCAGAATGCTTATTATCATTCACAAGGGAAATAAGGGACATCTGCTACAGCCTACCATTTCAGTTACAACTTACAAGTTATCATTCATGAACTAAAAGAGCAATCAAGTGATGAACCAATGGGTTAACATACTTATTCATCGCCTGCTGTAAAAAATAAAACGGATGTCAAACATCCTGAGGAAATTCCTGTTATGAAATACATAGTATATTTTTACAGAATATAGATGATAAGACTGGATAGGCTTCTTGCCTTCTTCATTGCACGCTACTAAGTTTATATTTTATCAACATATTCCAAAAATTAAAGACTTCTTTTGCCGGTATATATCCTTCCTTACGATTATTGATTCTTAATTTTAAAGATTAAATATGAACTATGCTTTAATTTTATTCTATATGCATGCAGATTTTTGAGTTTGAAAGAAACAATAAAAAAAATTCAAGACTATGTTTGGCAGAATTAGCTGGAACTAGAAGCTAATGTTTGAATGAAGGGCTATTGTCTGAATTAAAGGTCATTGTCTGAATTAAAGGTTATTATCTGAAGCTGATTTTTTAATTGCTTGATCTAAAACGTAAACTGAATCAAGTAGACCTGTTTGGATACAAGAGCTGAATGAGTTCCGAAAAAGCGTTAAATTACATTAAAGGGCAAAATTTCTATTAAAAGATAAACGTTTTCTAATAATATAATGCTATGGATATGAAGTATATGATTACACACACTAATTTACATACGAAGAAAATTAAAAACTAATATGTACTTAATAAGACCAAATTAATTAATAAGAAAGTATAATACTTTGTAATTAATTAGCTAGCTAGCAATGCTTTTTGGGCAGCAGAATCCTTGACTGTAGCCATCGGCAAAGCTCCACTTGAGACACACCCCTTTTTTCCGCCACGTACCGTATCATTTTTCTATCGCTTCCCATATCGACGACCATAAATAGCATCACAGAGAGGAAAACAGGAAAACAGGTTGCCTGAAGTCAAACGCTTCTTCTCTAAACGTTTCATTTCGGTTAATTTGTTTCAGTTCAAGTCTACATAAGCTTTACATCCGAACAGTTTCGATTTTAAAATTATCGACTGAATGTATACCATTTCAACCTATTATTAGCTGAAATGGTCTAACGAACATAGCCCAAGTGATGGAACTCCATCCGGTCATCCAGTCACTTCAAAAGATGAAGCTACAGACACTGTGTTACCATGTCTCTATGAGATGTAGATACAACCAAAGTAGTATGACTGTAAACTTGATCATTATTTATTTAATATAATCTGCATCTATGTCTATATTTAAATTGACTGTATTATGTAGAAAACAAGTTACAAGTTTTTGAACGAGTGTAAACAGTCAAAATTCTTAGCATTAATCTTAAAATGATTTGTAGACATTATTAATCAGTGTAATGTATAATATGAATCTATGTGTAATACTCTTTTGTTGACTCTCGGTTATTCGTCATTAATGCATGTTTTGTTTAGTCTGCATTTTTTTTTGAAATATTTGATGTTTCATGAACAAATAGCGAATGCAATGAACACTATTAACTACATATAAAATTGGAATTCAAATATGAAATCCTTTGAGCTAACCTAAAAGTGTCCAACTCTCCATATCAACATGTAAAATTGGGCTCACATCGGATATAGTAATAAAACCTGTCATAAATTAAGAAGCTTACAAAGAGGGAGGAATTTTAAAGATATTTGGCACATGCTTAAGTTGAGGGTTAAACATGTCATTGTTTCGTGAAGTCATGGCTTGAGATGAGGTGACACATAATCTCATCGGGAGACTAAAAAATGATTTAGCGACATTCTCATTACAAGTTTACAACAATGTGTGCTTATAACAATGTTACAGTTCTTCGACATTATCTTATGATTAAAATATCATGAAACACCGTTCATCATTTTCTCTTAATTTTATGAAGAATACTTTATCATCGATTGCAGTTATTAAGAAAATGCTGAATTTAGTTGGGCTAGATTTAATTGTCAAGACTGTATATCAAAAAACCAAACTTTTTAACCGTTTAAGTGCATATTTAACTTCTTCATCAAGCTCAGATAGTGACCCCTTACACGAGATACATTCTCATGAATTTTTCAAATAGCATTAAATGTTCCGATTTGTTGAGTCATGAGATAAAACTTAAAGTAAGGTGCATGTGATACTAATGAGTAATATAGATCACATATTTGGATTGTGCAATGACACGTGACTTTCGGTGACTAAAATTACTCATATAATCAAGGCTCAAATGACGCATAGAGAAACTGTCAAGGGTCAAGAGTAGTCAATGGAAAAGGTTGATATCTTCTCCCATCGATACTTTTTATGCACAGACAATTGTTTATGGTGTTTGCGAGAATAACAAGTTCATTGTTGATATGTGATGAAAACGGATACCTAACCAAGTCTATTTGAATGTTGTATACATACAATTTTATTGTAATTTATAATTTCCACTGACAGCTTCGTTGACATATGTGCACACATATGTAATTACAATGACACCTAATTTAGGATTTTATTTATCTTTTAAATAAAATGGACTGCTATTCATATTTTTGTAATTTTATATAATTGCTTCTAAACTTTATTTAGGTACTTCATTCATGTGCAACGCACGGGTGGAGTAACTAGTACCTAAGTAAAAGCACTGCATATGTGAGAGTCTCGCTCAATTGTTAGCTAGCTTATCGTTTACCTAAAAGCACTCTATATGATAGAGAAACTTCTCGCTCTCAATTGTTAGCTGAATTATTTTATTCCTAAAAGCACTACTTATGAGAGAGAAGAATCTCTCGCTCAATCTTGAGACGGCTTATGACTTAATCTTTCTTATATCTAAAATCTTACCTTATACTAAAAGACACAACATATGGGAGAGAAAATTTGTTGAGAAATTCAATCCCAAATAGGATCTAATCACACTAAACATGATAAAATTCATAGAATCAAACAATATGATCACTAACCGGTTGAAAAAAAACCGAACGTTGATGATGTCGTAGAAGATGACGAAGTCATGACGTTCAGATTCTCTAAGGATACAAGCGGATTTGATGGATTAAACGATCTCCCTTGGGTCTCCTAATATAGGTGTTCTTGAGACCTTTGGGAAGAGACGTATCCAGCCGTTTTAGTCGTAAGAATGGAAACATACGGGTGTTTTTATCTTGTATCAAAGAGAAACTCATTTGGTCCCTTATGTATTATTTAATGTTTATACATACCCATCATATGTTAACTATACATAAATACAAGGACCAAATCTGTCATATGGCAAACTTAATGGTAAAACATAAATGTCCCCAAAATATATTAAATTAAATAAATGGTCCAAGGGCATTTAAATGGAATTTTTCCAACAAAATTCTCTTACTCAATTGTTTGAAAGGATATCTTTTTAGCTTCTTATACCTAAAATAAATACAAAATGAAAGAGAAAATTATCTCGCCTAATTGTGTGTGAGCTTATCTTATCTTATACTTAAAAGAACTTCATATGAGACAAAAAGTAATCCCACTTAGGCATGGACCGGGCACCGGGACGGTTCAAGCCGGGCTTTTTTTTTCAGATGTTGGGCCCGAAACCGGGTCGGTCCAAGCCGGTCCAATGTATAATTTTTTTTTCCTTTCTAATTAACCCCCGACCTCCCCCCCCCCCCCCTCACCCCCACCCCTCAAACCTCCCCAAAACACCCAGCCCTACCCAAGGAAAAGAAAAAAATTGAAAAAACAAAAAAAATTGTTAGCGATCTTAATTTCTAATACCTAATAGAACTACATATGAAAGAGACAATTCTCCCCATTAATTACCCCGCTCAATTATTGCAAGCTTATCTTCTAATTACTTAAAAGCACTAATCACATGTTCTAATTATTTCCAAAATCCAAATTACAGTATAATAAAAAAATTATATGCTAAATAGGTAAATATAATTTAAGTGTGTTAACAAAAAAATAACTTTAAATCTTTATGGGACGGAAGAAGTACATTAATGTACATTTACATGAACAACAAAAAGTATATCTCAAACGGAATGTAACAATATTTTTGGATGTCAGGATATATGTATTAGTGAAATGTGTATAATACGAGTAGTAATTTTCGTAATATACATGAGAAATTAGTTGTAAATGCAGTTTTGAAGTATTGTGCGAGGAAATAAGAATGGGAGATCAAAGTCTTGGTTGGGATTTGGGAAACCAAAATTATACGAAGTGTTTAGGATAAAAGACGAGACAAATAATGTGCCGTGAAGGAAAGAGTCAAAGAGACTATGAAGTCTTAACTTAACTCAACTCGTCAGAACCAAATTTGCTAGCTCTCTCACAAGTATTTGTTCCTCTTAACTAAATAAAGCTTGCTCCCTTTTTTCTTATGAAGAGTAACGTTCCCTACTCAAAATATAATCCACTGCCTCTTCCACGGTGTCAACAACCTGTATGCATAGATAGCAGCAGAATTACAACTTTCTTTAAGACCTTGCTGTTCTCTGGAAACCAGATCCCAGGCCCCAGGTGAGGGGTGTAGAGGAAAATAGAAGAGTTGAATGACTAGTGGTTTCTTAAAATGCTGAAGAGGAATTTGTATTTTAGAAAAACATGTAAAAGGTGTTGTCTTGGTGTTATATTTGGTGTATATAAAAGAATGACTATTTACATGTGCCTGGAAAACTTCTGTCCCTTACCAGATCTGCTGAAAAATCAGTCTCGTTTACACGTCCCTTGAAAACGCCTGTCTTTGTCAAGATAGAGAACCTAGGGGGGCCGGCCTGAAAATAAGTACTATTAGAGTTAGTAGTTCATGTATGTGCCTTCCTTGCGGGTTTGTTTGGATCAAAGATAAGTTTCTTAGGTTTGGTTTTATCTTGAAAATTTAAAGGAAAATGAAAACTGATACTCCCTCCTATCAAAAAAATTGTCTGGATTTCTTTTCTGATTGTATCAAATTAATTGTCTTAGTTCTCTTTTAGGAAAACAAAAATCTACTCTAAAAGCAGCTATAGTACACTTTAATAATGTAGTATATAACAATGTTACGGTACCAAAAATCTCTTACTTTTTGTAAAGTCTACCATAATTATCTTAAATTGTGAAAAAGTAAATGAGACAGTTATTTTGATAGAGGGTATAAATATTAAATTTTCTTTTTTTGCACAAATAAATAGATTTAAATTCCTTAGTCTATACACACTTCTTCCATCCCATTTGACAATGCCGGTTAAGTTTACGGTGGTTATAAAGTTAATTCTTGTTTGACAATATCTAAATTGTTTTTTTGTATTTAATATTTTGATATTTAGAAACTGCAGCGAATTTTTTATTGAATCACAAAATTAAATTTTGATTTTAATAAAAAATTGATACCCATAGCCAGAGAATAACAAATACTATTGTTCACCACATTACAAATAAACTGCCCTGAAGTAGTAATATAAATTAAATAACGAGTAAAATGAGTTTTAGGAATTCCTCCAAATTATTTTCCTTTCCAATTTCCCCTGTTTTGTCTTTATTTACTTTCTCTAATAGCTAAATTTTGAGTTCCAAACCGACCCAACATGTTGGTGCCAAAACTTAAGGAACAAACCTGCCGAGCTCCATTGATATCTACAATTGGATTATCCCCAACCATATACAAGGTTTTAAAAGAATGCATTCCACCAGTAGCAGCCTGATGAGGCAACTGAAGTTGCATCAATGTTGCTTCAGCATTTTTGAATACAAAAGGGTTTGGTTTCCCATAAGATGTATATTCCAAAGGCTTTTGGTGAATGCTGTGGAAGATAATTGAAAAGAAATTGTGAGTTGAACTCTTCGAATTCATGTTACTCATTGTCCACCAATCATAGATCATGGCCAGGTGGAGCATCCCGTGGGGTTTTAGGATGTTTTTACGTGGACCAGTTTCTGTCCTAGACTAGACCAAACTTTGACAGTTGACTAGATCAGACCAACTCAGACCAGACCAGACTTAGACTTAAACTGACCGGACCTGGTTAGACCAGAAAATTTCAGTCTTAATAAAAACATCCTTAGGACATTTTGGAAATGATGGTGAGAAAAACCATACCAATATGCTAACCATCCAATACTTTCTTTATAATAACAATTTTAGTCCCTCGCTAACGTATACTTAAATAGCCCCATCTGATACCCACACCTTGGTTGTTGTTTTAATTTCTCACTTATCTCAAATTGTTTAGTCCACCATTTAAGGGATTAAAAAAGGGAAAAGGACTTAACAGCTACCAAGGGTAGAATGATAGTCTTTGCGAAAACAACATGGGACTAGTGGGGAGAATGCATATTTAGACTCGAACAAAAAAGTCACGAATCACGTGCTATCCTGGGACTAAATCATGATTGCTTTAGTTACAGCCTTACAAGATCATTATTGGTACCTTAAAGATATGGGACCAATTCTGAAATCTTCCCTGGGACTAAATTTACTTCAACGAAAAAACGCAATTTTCCCAAACTAGAATGAAGCTAACATTTGGAAGCCATGGACCCTTACCTATTATATATAGATTCTAGAGCAACTCTGAAAGCACCCATTCCAAGACGTTCGGAGGGAAACAGTGCCTGTCATCAAAGCACTCGATGAGATGAGCTCAGTTGAATTAATGGTCAATGTCTCAATGATAAGCATACACACACACACACATATATATAATATATATATATATGTGCATTATAATTAGCATTAACATATCATGACAAACCTGATAAGCAAGGTCATCGTTTGCAAAAAAAATAGGTGGCTGGTGCGCAACCTCTCTTCCTGGTAGGCCTCCCGTCCTCAAGATATCACAAAGAACCTGAAATCAACATATATAACAATTCAGTCCAGACAGTAAATAAATGAAGGAAAGCATTACTAAAGGCAAAGTGGAAAACAACTAAGAAAATATTGCTAAGCTATTAATAGTTCTAGTACATGCCTAGTGATTTCAATTTCCCTATATGAGAAACCATGTAGCGAATCATCACTATTGGTGCCTTAATCCCAACTAAGTGGGGTCGGTGGCATTGAATTTATAGTGCCGATTAATGGCATAAATTGATCAAAACTACATTTCATGCTAACAAGTAACAATGGGTATTACAAGTTCTTGTTGTTTACATGAATTTTAAATAAAAGCACTAAGAATGCCTTCTGGTAACTGGTGTCAAAGTTTAAAGAAAAGTATCACAGGTTAATATAGCATCTATGAAAGTTCGGACATATTACCTTACGAATATGTTACCATACTTATATATTACCTTGTATAGTTATTATTATTAATATTTAGTATCATTATTAGTTCTGATTCTTAGACATGTAACAGATAATGCCCCCGTTTGTTATGCGGCGGTTTGGTACCTACACGTTGCTAAATGCAACGTTTGTAGGTAAAAAAAATCAGCGTTTTTTTGAAAACGCTATTAACCAAACAGGGCCAATCAAGATGATTCTTGGGAAAACTTAGTTTCCTTAGTTAGCAGCACAACTATGTATATATTCTAGTACCTACTTTGTACTATGGAAAGCAAATTATGGGAATATAGAATACTCATATTACATGTACAGATTTTCTCTTCCAATAGTCTGCATGATTTACTTTTACTTTGAATAATTCCTAAGCTGCGCACGTTTGATCATGGTATCAGAGCCATCTACATAACATATGTATGTTTCTCATATATTTTTCCCCGATGAATAAGACATGACGAACGCTTCACCAAACCATATTTCAATAGAGTACTGAAATTGCTTCTGGACAGAATGATGGGCAGCAAAAGGTGATTAATCCTTCTTCACTGTATTTTAAAGATTGTACTATATCTAGAGCTCACCCTAATGCTATTGGTGGACATGAAGGCGGGCATCTAGTGAGGGGACTGATTCCAAACATTTTCCAGCTCTCACTGCTGAACAGTGGACTTCATTTTGGCTTTTGTGAAAAAGACAAATCGATACCGCTGAAAAACTGGCAGGTACAGAAAAAATAAATTGGTTACTTGATACGGGAGCATTGTATCATGTGACGAGTTGACGGGGAATAAGAACTTATTAATTGAATTGTGTGTAATATCAATACTTCATATCATCCTCACCAATCACACTTCCTAGCGGAAACATTACATTAGCTACACATATTAGTCGGGTTCGGCTAGGACCCAGGTTGATTCATGAATGAGTCCTTTATGTGCCTAGTTTATTGTGTCATTTAGTCTCAATTGGATAACTCATTGATGTTTTGTCATGCCATGTTATATTTAATAACAAGTTTTTGTGTGTTATAAGACCTCAATTTGAAGACGCTGGTTGGAATGATTGAACATCGTGGTTGGGTCCATTTTCTGCGTGGGGTCCGATTTACACAGACTACAAATGTGACGGGTGTAAACACAAAGGATTTATGGCACAAAAGGTTGGGACATCCTTCTTCCCGAATTGTTCGTCTGCTTCCAGTTAGTTTTAGTAAAATTGTTGGTGGTTCTTTGAATAAAAATTGTGATGTTTGTCCAAGTGCGAAACAGACATGTGATGTTTTTTCTTCCAAGTTTGAACCGTGTTTCACATATTTTTCATCTTATTCATTGTGATGTGTGGGTCCTTTATCGAGAGTCTAGTACTTGTGATGCCTATTATTTTCTTACTATTATGGGTGATTTTTCTCGTGTTGTTTGGGTTCATTTAATGGCAAAAAAACGAGAAATGACTATTACTCCGTATTATGGAACGTTTTATTTCTATGGTTAAAAATCAGCTTCATACACATGTCAAGGTGGTTCGACAAATAATGGTACTAAATTTGCACCATTACGGCCTTATTTTCTTAAACATGGGATCTTGTTTCAAACTTCTTGTGTTGGTACTCCGCAACAGAACGGACGACGAAAACATGACACATTTTAAATGTGGCATGTGCTTTATGATTTCAAGCCAGCCTCCGTATGCAACTTAGGGGGAATATATTTTAACCGCCTGTTAAGCGGGCACCCTCCATGTTAGATAATGGCAAGACACCATTTGAGTTATTATATGGCCGTGTACTATCTTACGACTTTATAAGGACATTTGGTTGTTTATGCTATGTTTACTTCAAAAATAATAACTATACAAGGTAACATATAAATCAGTGATGTTAATAGCGGCGCTATCACGCGCTATAGCGGAGGTGCGGAGCGGATGACCAGACTGGCGCTACCAGACGACATGTAGCATCGCGTTTGGGTGTTGCGGACATAGCGGGCGCTTTAGCATTGGTGCGGAGAAGGTAATGGCGGCCACTATAGCGGCGAATTTTTGGGGTAAATCAGATGGCACGTTTCTGCTAGGGTTTTTTGTGTTAAATTCTTAAGCGCAGAGGTAGAAGGGGTAAACTAGACTTTTAAAACAAAATATTAACCGACTTAAACCCTTAACACTTTCGTAAAAGCTCAAAACGGCTCTGCGATGAGTTCTTCTCCGAGAAAGCTCTGTTTCTCTCTGCTATTGATTCTTCTCCAACAACGACACATGCTGCCCTCCTCTTCCTTCATTTTTCTCAGTAGTATCTTCTGCTGCAACATCTTCTTCTCCAACCTTTGCTGCAGACCTGCAGAGAGTCTTCTTTTCTTCTTCTCGTGTTGAGTCTAGTCAGTCTACTGCCATGTTTAATCCCACATGAGAACACCTTGACCCAGCTTGGAAGTGGAACAGTTTGATTGTTAATATATCAAGGCTTAAACTCTTAAACTAAAACCCTGTTTAGTTAATTATATGTGTGTAGTTAATTATGTATTATACTTAAAAGTAGTCTGAATAGCGTTCATCCCACTATCCGCTATAGCGTTTTCAGGGCTAGCCGCTACGCTCCGCTATCCGGGATTGACAACACTGATATAAATATGGTAATATATACATAAGGTAATATGTCCGAACAATGAAGTTGTATGAAACGAGATATAATATGAATGAAATACCTGAATATCTCTGCACCAATCAATTGAATCACTAACAATGAAGACAGCTTGGACACTCTCTGAGCAAGGGTCTTGTCTCAAAGTGACTTTCTGATGACTAACAAACTGCTTATCAGCGAACTCCTTGTATTGTGCCAATGGGTCAATATTCTCAAAAAATGATGCATACTCATCCATTGAGAGGACATTTCTAAAGTTAAGCATGTGAGTTAAGTGATGCAATGGCAAACGATTAAGCATAAGGGTTTTAGACTTGTTAAATGACAAACAGGATAGATAGAATCCAAAAGGTCTTGCCTGAAACCATATTCAGACATTACTTTAGCAGGTTCACCTTTCCCAACAGCCACAATGAATTCATTCTCAAATCTACAATAGAGATACTGAAGGTGATATATTCTACCAAACAAAATTTTTTTTAATAAGGTAAAGTTGATCTATCATTATTTAAGTTGACCGCTATTTGAGCTGACTAGTTTTCTTTCTCAAATCCATCCCAATCTCACAATCCACGCAATTTTAACACTGACTTCTTTTTTCTAGCCCAGTGATATTGTCATGAGCATTCTACTAATGTATCACATATTTTCAAGGAAGTTCACACAATTTAGTTATAGATGTTAATTACTACTTATGTCCCACTTAAAGGTTCCCGTCCAATATTCTCCGCCAACGTAAACTATTCTTAATTTTTTACTTTATATATTCAACTTTCATCAAATTTGATTTTTTTGTGACTTTACAAAACTTTTAATCTAGTTTCTGAATATGTAAATTTTATTTACTAAAAATTATCTTATTAATGACAGGGATTACTTAACTTTATGGTCAATCAAATATCGTAAACCGCGTGGGAACCTTTAAGTGGGACGGAGGGAGTATTAATTACTAATTAGTTGGAAGTCATCCTTTATGGATTGAAGGTGAAACAGGAGATAACCTCATACCTTTTCACCAAATGTTTAAACGGGGTATGGCCTTGTAGAACCTGCACCGTTATTGAAGTTGAGAGTGGCAAAAATAAAAAAGACACTCGAGAATTTAACATGTGTCGACTATATTTTCTTAAAAGTACAAATTACAAGAGTAGAAAAACTGATCAAATAATCTGTTGCCAGGTGTCCAAACAATCACACTTGTGAAGAGAGGATGTTGATTCTCAGCAAACTGGCCAGCTCCCTTGCTCTTTCATATTCAGGAACGCCACCTCCTATTGAATACTAAAGATGACAAATAAGGCCTTGTGTATAAACTATAATAGTATAATACAATAAGTCACTTCTCTCTGAGGCTCTGCTTGGATGGAGGATTTGGAGGGCAGGGTTTTTTGGAAGACTTACTATATATCTTGGAAAGTTCAACATTTCTAACAACAAATAGATATTGAAATGTCATACAATCACATAATATGTTAACCTTTCACCTTGTGTCTTGTATAATATTATATATATACACATACAGAATATAGAGTAGGACTAGTCAGTAAAAAATTGGCTCATTGACTTCATTTTTTAGCCAAAAATGAAGTTGGCCTAATGGGAATCCCGTCAATCAAACTGATATGATCTTAACTCTATATATACATATATAATTTACATATATAATATACACACATTCCATATAGACTATGTCACTAAGTCCTCAAAAGCCATCCCCTCGAAAGCCCTCTCCAAGAATGTTTAACCAAAATGCCGTAAAGAAATGGGAAAGTGCTCTCTAACAGAAAGACAAGTAAAAAACTACTAGATGGAAGGTTACAAATCTGAAAGCAGTGCACTCCAATTTAATGGGATAAGAGAGCGAGAACTAAATATAATAGTGGTTTAGTATTCATGAAGAACATAAATATGTTTGCATCCACAAGTGACGGAAAGTATGAGGAAACATGGGAGATGACTCAGATGAGAAAAGAGAACTTCAGTTCTGGACCGGAAAAACTTAGAGCTGTTTTATACACTAAAATTGCAATGGCTGGAGTAAAGAATATTAAAGAGTTAATCACTACATCCTACTCTGAGAAAAATGAGTGAATGATTATATGTATATAAGCTAGAAGTGCTACGAGGTCAATACTTAAAAATAATACCACCCATAGAGCTCAATTGTTTTGCAGACAAAAACAATTGAAGGCCAACTTTTCATTTCTTGGTAGATCGTGTATAAAATTATCCACGTGGTGAAAGGGGAAGTGATAAAGTTCCGGTTTTGCATAAAAAGGAGACCATCAAAGACCACATGTGCACTGTATTCTACTGCACAAAGATATGGGCATTACTGCATGACTATTTGAAAATTGAATTACTTATACGAATTGATTTAAGAGAATCACTCACCATTTGTCAGAAAAACAAAAGGAACTCTCATAGTCCCTGCACATGTCAAGGCAACGCATGCATTATCACATTTATCACTTCTAAATAAGTAAATAGACTTGGGAAATATCACAAAGTGAAACACAAGATCAGACTTAACCAGACCATACAAAATTAGGCATATATTCCCAGAAAAAAACCTAGCCGGATAAGAGAGACACATTTAGTTTACAAATCTGGAGTAACTTTGTTCTACTGAGCTAGTTTTATTGTACTCACTCCGTTCTTTTTTAGTTGCAACAGTCAACATTTCACATTTGCCAACGCACGTCTTTGACCGTAATTATATCTTAATTCTATTAGTAAAAAAAATATTAAAAATCAGATTTTGAAAATTTGTAATGAGATGAAATGAACAATATTTTTTTAAAAAAATACTTTTCATAAAATAATAGCGTAAAATGTACTCAAAGTAGAGTATGTGAAAAGTGTAAAATTCACCATGTTGGTATTAAAACAGAACGGAGGGTAGTGTATTTTAGCTGGAAAATGGAAAAAATGTGATTCAGTTCTAGAGGCAAATATTAAATATATGTACTTGATCTGTTCTAAAATTTTCAAACTTTCTTTTCTTAGTCTTCCATTTTTTTCTCTTATTTAGGCTATCAATTATAGTCATTTCCGAAATTGGCTTTTGCTATTCAATAGGACTTTTACGCAATGGTGTGTCTGAGGGGTATTCAGGTATTGGTCATGGAAGTGTTAAAGATTGTTGGCTTTAAAACATGGTTGGGAGAGAAATAAAAAACGGAAGTTTTAATAAGTATTTAAAGGTGTTAACTATAACCTTTCCAACACCTGAACCCATGATTTTTTTAACATCCCAAATTGGTGTTTTGAGGTGTTGGACAACCTTTACCCTTCTCTTTATTTATAAAAATTTAAAACTCTCACCCCTTCACGTCTCCCGCTACAGATGTAGTGCTATGCCTCCTCCGTCCCTTGTGGTGTCTTGCCTTGCAACACTTCCATTACTAACACTTCATTTTTTAAATCTTTCAAGCAAGTTAAATTTATATCTTACACTTTTCCCTTCCTTATTTGCGTCTACACTTCCTAGCTCTTCTATTACTAACAACCTTTAAAGTCTCACCCAAACACATCATTAGTCTAGTTTCTAAATATATATATATACTTTTATTTATTAACAATAACTTTAAAATTGTGACAACTAACTTTTTCTGGATCAGCCTGAGCATTTTTTTGTTTGCAAATACAGGAGTATAGAAAATGAGATTAATCCCTGCCCCTCCTTCCCTTTCACAATGAATAAAAAAAATAGAATATGAGATGAAAAGAAAATGTTACCAAAATTGTCGTAGAGGCGTCTGAGAGCATGAGAAGAACCGCCAATCGGAATGCTTCCTCGGAGGAGGACGCCATCGATGTCAAATGCAATGCCGAACGATGACGATGCACTGCCAAAACAAAATTCAATACCATATAGGTATGCGTATACAAATTCACAGAAACTATCAAATTATCGTATCTACACATACATGAAGTGATTAAACAAAAAAAGTCAAAACAGCAAAAGGGGGTGGAGGACGAGACGGCAGAAGGAAGATGAAGTACTGAGAGTGGAGTTGATTTGAGAAGAGACACAAGCAGCGCTTTGACGAAAATTGAAAGTTACTTTGAATCCCAGAAGAAGATACAGCCTTTTGAGCTACTCTTAGGAGAAGAAACCCCCTCATCTTGAATTTCGTGAGCTTATTTTCTAGCTGT